TGTTTGGTAGCAGAAAATGTGGCTGCCTGAAGTGGCCACAGTGCCAATATTGTACCTCATTATGTTAATATGATATATTAACCTTTAATTCTCTTACAGATTTGAATGCAGTTACCAAAAGGGCAGGTGCTCAAATGGGCAAGGAAAAATACCCATCAGGTTTTTGTCTCTATTGAAAGACAGTTGGCAGCCTGTGTACTGCCTTGTAGACCTGTGTGACCATGCCCATGTCAGGGGTGGCACAAACATCAACTTTTGGAAAGTGGGGGAGGCATGTATAGAACAGAGGGGAATGGTAAGTACCAGCCTTCTGTCACAGGAATTACAGACCCTGTGAGGTCCTTTGACAAGTGAGACCCTGTGAAGGGATAAAGCTCACTTAGTCTATTCTGAGAGGGCATGTCACCCCTCCCAGAGACCATATGTACTTTAAGGATAAGTCAAGTAGGGGGAACCCTACTACAGGGACAGCTGTGACTATCTATTTGAATATAGACACATTGTAAATTTCTTCTTGCCATTTGAAGACAGTTACTGTTTTGTTATAATACAATTAGAAAAATATTACTCCGAAGAGTCCATGAAAAGGACTGGCAAGGAAAATCAGAAGATCTTAAAGCAAGTCAGTATATTTTTCTCTTTATACAATTCCTCCAAAATTTGGCAATTCTTAATAAATAAATCATGGCAGGCATTTCTTTGCATAAATTCAATAAGACCAGTTTACAATAGTGGTTTTATTGATCGAAAACTTTGACTGGAGTGTTATGTTTTAAAGAGCCCTATCTGAACTCTGAAGACTTGAAGCCAATAAGAGTGCCATGGAGAAAGCCTGGTATCCTGCTTAGTAGCCCTGAAAATAGATGGCACTGGAGCATCAGGCCCATGCCCTACCATCACTGGTGGTTTGTCAGAGTAGAAGGGGGCAATAAGGGTGCCTCTGAGTCCCTGTGGAACCCTCAAACACTCTGGGCCTCAAGGAGTAGGAGGGCTACTGAAATGGGCCTTAAAGCCTAGGGCATGGCCCCGGGTAGAGCCACTGCAGGTGAGGAATTCACCTAACTCAGCAGATACTGCAGGCAGGCCTGACAGCAGCTGGATGGCTTGTGTTCCCTGCCCTGCGGGACACATTAAGATTCAATCATAAAATTCTGGCAAAGGTAGTCAGTTATCATTCTTGTTATGTTTATGCAAACAATCAGGCCAAATGAAATACAATAAATAAATTGGTCCTGATTTGGCTCTTGATAAACATGGGAGTAATTTTGAGGAGAAAAAATTCTAATTCAATAGAAGTTATTAAAACTAAAATGTTTCCTTTCCCTCCCACCAGACCATTTGTTATAACTTTTGCTATTCTAAGTACTCAATAATACTAAATTTTATAATACAGTTTGTCTCCGCGAGGTGACAAGCCCACCTCTTTCTGTGCCCAGGCCTCATCATCCATCTGACAGACAGCAAGGATCTCTTGGCTCTGAGAGAAAACTCCGTCCCTCTTCAGCACGAAGCAGCTACAGAAGAAGCCCAGTGTCCCCTTTCCCTGAAAAAATTCAGAGCCAAGTTCTTTGAGGTAATATATTAGGCAGTTAGACAGACATGAGCAGAGCAAGGACGATGGGCCAACTAGCGCTACCAGATGTATCTAAATCTTTCCACCTCTATGTATGTGAGACAAGGGGCATAGCAAAGGGGTTCTAACCCAAAGTCTCAGCCCCTAAAAAGGTCAGTAGCCTACTTTTCTAGAAGACTTGACCCCATTGCTTCTAGGTAACCTGCCTGCCTCCATGCAGTAGCAGCTGCTACTATACTTGTCAGGCTGCAGACAAAGCGGCCCAAGGAGGCTGCCGTAAAACCAGTGGGGCCTCTACAGATTCTAGTGACTCTTCCAGACCCTGACCTACCCACATCACCAGCTTACACGGAACCACACTAAGCTCGCAGAGCTTCTAAGAGATAAGTATTATTTACCCAATCTAGAAAAGCTGAAATACATAACCAATCTTTACTCCAGTTCTTCCAGGCTTTACAGTCCATCCAGAAAGCAGTCTAGGAGCACGACCCAGATGCTCTGCCTGTACCAACTTTTGATCTGGTCCACCCCTTATGCCCTGGTGACTGTTTAGATAAAGAAATTTGCCACCCAAGGACTGACTCCTACCTGGAAAGGACCACACACCATCATCCTGACCACTCCCATGGCAGTCAAGGTCGACAGGATCTTGATGTGGCTTCGTCACACCCAGCTTAAGGCAGCCCAGGCAGAATAGAGAATCCAGGACCCTTCTGACTCTCTAAAGATTACTCCTGGACCTCATCCGAGCCCTTATGAATGGACTTACTAACTTTATTTGGCAGAAAATTAAGATTATAGTCCTCTGGGGTCAATATAACTCCTTCCTTGACATTGACCAAGAGTCAATGATTTGACTCATGTACATAAAACCAGTGGGGAATGAAGCATAGTAACCTCCACCTTGGGTAAAAACTGCTGTTTACAATTTTAACCCTGTTATTCTGGCGTCTCTAAACGTTTGCTTGCTTAAATAATAGGGAAAAATAAGACTACACCCATTCCAGAAAAGCCATAAACTATGTCCCAGACAAAGTTGTCAGTGCTGGCGCCAGGCCAGTCCTTGAGATATGGTCTCACGGCCCTGTCCCCCACACAGGACTTTTTCTCAGAAGGCCCAGAAGACTCATTCCAAATTTGGGAGACAACGAGCTGAAAAACGTCTAAATAAGGAAGACTTCCACCATATTGGGCCCCAGAATTTGAGAAGCAATATTTCCTCTGGGCCTGCTAGTGCTAGTGAAATGAAAAAGACTCCAAATAAATTTGGCTTATTGATTAAGATGTCTTCTGATTTACAATATAACACATAGTCTGTTCATGCTTCTATGTCTCTGGGTCTATTTTTGATCATCAGTTTATTTGACCCATTAGCAATGCAGACTGGTGCAGCCATTATGGAAAACAATATGGAGTTCTATTTAAAAATTAAAAATGGAACTCCTATTTTACCCTGTGATGTCACTTCTAGGAATATATTCTAAGAATCCCAAAACACTCATCTGAAAGAATGTATGCACCCCTATATTCATAGCAGCGCAATTTACAACAGCTAAGCTTTGGAAACAGCCTACATGCCTATCAGCAAACGATTGAATTGAGGGGGAAAATAAGACATTTTGAGGGGGGGCTAGCAATCTGAGTCTGTGCCAGTAACCTAATGTACATTCTTGATAGCCTATGGTTTACCTACTGCCCCTTTCTCCACAATTTGGTCTTGCAAGACCGATTTACTTAAATACTCACATTTTAGAGAAGCCATAAACCATGAACAATACACAACCCCCTGAGGGGGTTATCGGCATTGGCGCCAGACCAGGCCTTTTGGTGTGGTCTCACAGCCCACATTCCAACTCACGGGGCTTTTTACAAAGCCCGAGAAAGGTCCAGAAGTCCCATCCACATTTGGGGGACAAAAAAACCAAAGGGTATAAAGGAAGCGCTTCCTCCATATTGGTTTGCTCAGGATTTGGAGAGAAACAGTCTCCCCTGAGTCACTGTACTAGTACATGTGGAACATCTGAAAATGAATGGGTTTTTCCTGTATCTCTTGTACTCCTGCGTATTTCTCAGTTGCCTGGTAAATTCAGTAACAGGATAACTGTGGTACACCTACACCATGGGATACTATGCAGCCATGAAAAAGAAAGAACTCTTACCATTTGCAATAGCATGGGTACATCCGATAATGGGTTAATTTCCCAAATGTATATGAAGTGGGATTTTTGGACTGGAACACGCAGTATTCCTCTGGGCAGGATGGTTCCTGGGTTCTTTGTTCCTTGGAGTCGAATAATGAATCCAGGGACGGAAGAGGTTATAGCAAAGGTGGAAATTTATTAAAGAACAAGAACTGACTCCCACGTGGGGAGGGGGAAAGAGTCTCATTGAGTCCCTTTTATAAAGGCTGCAGATCTTTGTGCCTTGATATCCTCTGATTGGTCACTATTCCCTTAGACTGCTTACTATGGTAACTCCTGAGCTGAAAGGTCAAACCTCGCATGGGACATGTGAGGTTCCTCCCCCTTCTTCCCCATTGTTTTCCTATTCCCTTTGGGCTTTCTTCTCCTTCTGGATGAGGGGCTTCCTTCCCTTTATTTTGTAAATATAGACCTTGCTGTTCCCAGCTCCCTCATCCTATGGAAACGTACCTTCTCCTGCTCTGCAGTCCTGTGCTTCTTCCATGGTCCCCTTAAATTCTAAAATTCCTATAAGTTCCTAAACTTGTCATTTTCACCCCTAAAGATTCCTCTGTCATATAGGGAACTCATATTAAATTCTATTCCTATAAGTTCCTAAACTTGTCATTTTCACCCCTAAAGATTCCTCTGTCATATAGGGAACTCATACAACTTAACAAAAGGAAGACAACAACACAATGGAAAAATAGGCAAAGGGCCTCATAGGTAAGTCTCCAAAGTGGACACACAGATGCCCAGGATGTGCTCTACTGAGGGTGGTCATCCTGATGTCAAAGGTGTATTAACCCAGATGCACAGGAACAATGGACGGAGCTTAAGGCAAAGATGAGCCTTTTAGTAAAAAAGTCATAGGCCTGGGGCGTGCCCACCCCCAGGACTGCCCAGGGAGGATGTGTGATCAGAGCCTCTTGTGAGGGTCCTGTCAGTCACTGAGTTTTGTCAGACTTACGAGAGAGCCACCTTTTGTTCAAAAATACAACCCCTAAAACAAGACATAGGAATGGGCTTTCTGTGAGCTCTGTCGCTGAGTCTTGGGGCAAAATTAATTTAAGACGGAGCAGGAAATGGTATCTTTGCTCAACTCTACACCTGCTCCTTGTCAGGGTCCTGTGCTGGTCCTGCTTGCCCCCTGTTGGTCATGGATGCTCCCTGAAGCCCAGCCCTGTTGTCTCCCTCAGGGAGGTTTGTGTCTGGGCTCACACTGACATCCCCTCACTGTGTCTTGCACAGTAATACACGGCCGTGTCCTCGGTTGTCACGGAGGTCAGCTGCAGGGAGAACTGGTCCTTGGATGGGTCTCTGGAGATGGAGGTTCGGCTCTTGAGGGAGGGGCTGTAGTAAGTGCTCCCACTACTACATATTTCTGCAATCCACTCCAGCCCCTTTCCTGGGGGCTGGCGTATCCAGTCCCAGCAGTAACCACTGCTGATGGAGTAACCAGAGACAGTGCAGGTGAGGGAGAGCGTCTGCGAGGGCTTCACCAGTCCTGGGCCTGACTCCTGCAGCTGCACCTGGGACAGGACACCTGAGGACAAGGAGCATCAGTCCTGTCAGTCACCTGCAGTCACAGCCATCCCATGACCCCTGTCTGACCCCTGAGACCCTCACCTCGGGGGGGTGTCAGCAGACACAGGAGAAGACCCAGCAGCCTCATCTTCTTCTAGACCACAGCTCTGCCTTCCCAGAGACTCAGCCCTGTGTGAGCTGTGAGCCTGAAGAGCCCTGGAGAGTATGTACACTGGAGCTTGAAGAGAAATTTGCATGTGGGGCAGCCTTTCCTATAAGTAGAGGGACTGAGGTCAGGCTGCCCTGGTCATTCTGAAGGCCCTCTTCAGGCATCACTTCCCTTGATGACCTCACTCACCTTGTAAGTCAGGGACAGGGGACAACCTGGGTCATGAGCACATTGGAATTAGGTCAAAGAATGGCCTAAACTCTCTGAGAATAAGAAGAAATTGTGGACTTGATGAGTAGGTTACACTTTTAACTTCTCATGCACCTTTTGAACAGGTATCAAAGGCATTAGCATTTGTTCAGACCATTTCTGAATCTCTAAATATTATTGTATCCAGCATTTCCAGATTTTTTAAATCTAATTTTATGGAAATAATTCCTACCATTGTACAAAAAATAAAAATAAGGACAGCCTTTTTCAATAGGTTATATCTTAATATATGATGTTATTTTGATCTGAGACTCTACCTTCCAAGTACAGAAAGGTGAGACACCTGCGAATCTTGAAGTTGGAAATTTTCTGATTGTGTCTGCAGATTCCTGAAAACTGTTTGATATGCAAGCTCATGGCCTATTGCAGATACCTCCCTAATAGTTACATCAGAAATAGTCAAGACTTTAAGCAGAGAACAGACATGAAATAAAAGCAGTGATCATGTATGTGCACAACTGAGAATCATTCATATGTTGAAGTGATATGGTAGCCTGTTAAGTGACCTGATTTCTCATTCTAGTGTTATCAGTGATGTTGGGTTCAGAGTGAGGGGAATTGGAGAATTCTTAGCAAACATTTTCTCACAGGAAAGGGAACTTCAACCCTGTCAGGAATCCCTAACTCCCAGCCTCCCTCTGTCCTGTCCCTGGGGATGCTCACTGTGCTCAGAGGGTGCCGGGCTCTCCCCCTAACATACCACAACATTAATGTGCAATGCACACATTCTCCCATCAGGCACAGGATTAGGAAAATAATCTATTGCTAAGTTGTCATTTAATTTTCTTGATGGAATATTTGGTGGAACAGATATTTTTACTTTTATTAAAGTAAAGTTCATCAGTATTCTCTTGGATGGGAACTGTTTTGGGTGATTTTACAAAGAATTCACCAGAAAATGCTGGGCTTCCAAGGCCCATGTGGCTTGGCTACAGCAGCCACAGGGGCTGGAGCAGGGGAGCGCTGCTGGGAAACTAGCAGAAGGCCCAGAAGGAAGTGAAGTGTAGGGATGATAGAGACAGCTCTTGTCATCGTAGGAAATTCCTGAATAATGATGAACAGGTGTTGATTGAAGTAGAAATGAGAAAGATCATGCAGGCAGGGATCAAGAGAAATGAGGAACCTGCCACTGCAAACTGGTGGGAAGGGGAACCCTGTCTCCTACATGCACATTCCCACAGTGTCTCTGTTCTAGAAGGTGACACCTTCCCAGGTCCAAGGTATTCCAACTTGGACACCTTTGGGTTGATTAATCACATGATCTAACCATGAATCACCGAAGTTGCATAATTCATTGGGGTCCCATTTATGAAATCTCTCAACACTCACTGGGAAGAGTGGACATTCCTCACTGGAGGAGCCAAGGTGACGGTGTGTCTGTATGAGGAGCCTTCATTCCATTAGACCAGGGCTCCTGTCTCAGTCCATCATCTTCATTGTAATCACCATCATCACCACCATCATCATCATCATCATCATCACAATTTGCTTACTTATAATCATTCTTCTCGTTTTCTATGAACATGGTGGTTGTCTACACACAATGACTTCTTATAAGGAAACAAAGCAGGTGCCTCCTCTTCAGATGCCATTAGGGATTGAGACCCCAATGGCCAAACTGTAAGTTGACACAGGCCTTTGAAAAAGCCCATGACAGATCAGTGGGAAAGGACAGATTCCCACGAAGACATTGGACTGAGATTCCTTTCCATTTCTATCATCACCATCACTACCACCACCAAAACCACCACCATCATCATTGTCAACATCAACATCACCATCATTTGCTTACTTATAATTATTATCTATAAATAATTATTCTTCTCATTTTTTACATGTGGTTTTTGCACAGACATAAGGACCTATTTCTTAATTTTTGCTCAATGTATATAGTTGTTAAATAAAATGCAACTATATATTTTTTTTGTTGGACTTCTAACAGCTGTGGGTTCATTCCTTCCTCTTCTCCATCTGCCCCAC